GGACATGATTTTTAAATGACCTTAAAGAGTCCCCTGTGACAGATACTCATAATTTTTAAGCAATGCCCTATTGTTGAACATTTATATCTTTCTGGTTTTTCATTGTTGCAAATGATCTATAACGTTTTGGCTTAGGAATGTATCTCTATATGTTGAACGTGAAATGAGTAGAAAGGTATTGTAAAGGGGACCTGGAGATAAAGAATGCGTTGTGAGGTAATTCTGAGTTTTGCGATGATTGCAGAGCACGTATTTTGTGTCATCTGCTGGAAAGCAAAGAAGCATAAATCTTTAAATAAACCAAAATTGAATTTGACTATGAAGTTTATCTTGCACCTAATGGAAAAGGTCAGCTGTTTTGTTTATGGGACCATGATTTGATCATAACATTCCTTCTGAGGCAACTGCAATAAATCTGGGTGTGGCCTTTTGTTTCCTGGAGCTATAATTAGCCATCTGGTGTACTTTACAACATGTTGTTAAAGAAAAAAAATCTTAAAATGTAGCATTTTGCTCATTTTCTCTCTCTCCGTATATATTCACACACATACATATGATGTATATGGTGACAACCGTGGAAGCAATAAAATGTGTACAGAATGTGTTAAGAAATGCTTGGGGGACACTACCATCAAAAAGACCCCCAAACCCAAAACGTTATTTTATGCATAGATGCCAAAGCTGTATTTTTCTGTGCTATGTTTAGGGTCTTCTTATAACAGAACACATTTTTTTTTTTTCACCAACAGATTTTTAAACAGCAGGGACATGCTTATTATTTACTGTTTTGGTATCTTTCCCTCATTTACATAAATACCCCAGAAACCAGCAGTTTAAAACTAATAAAAGCCAGGGCCCTCCATCAAGTGCAATAAAGTTTCACAGCCATGAGTTAGACTGTTAGGGTGAAAAATAAACCTATATATGTGGTTATCAAGGGGTTTGGGGGGAAAGTGTATAATCACATTTCAAAGTTAGAACTTTCATTTGAAGAAGCAAGGCAATCATAATACTTAAACATTTATGTAGAACGCTTTATCTTTGAAACATTCTCTTAATATTGGCCAATTAATCTCTGCTGCTTCCCTAAGGAGCAGGTATTACTATCTGCCGTTTTTCTAATTATAAACTTGAGGAAGGTATGACCAACGCACCGAGAGGAAAGACGGGGCCGACAAGTGTCTAGCCCTCATTATGTGGTGACTCCTTGAGATGGTACTCCTAATAGAAGGCATCAGAGTTCTGTTCCACATTGATGAAATCATTAACAAAACAAAGATAGAAACAGTAGGTCAATCTGCCTCAGGCTTTCAGATGCAGTTGTACCTTCTGAGGTCACCTTTTGGGAAGAATGGGATACAGAAAAGATGCAGAAGAGCCACAGCGCATGTCATCTGTACTTGCAATGGATGGGTCTAAACTTCTTCCAGTGAGAAAAGCAAAGTTAGATGCTCCCTCCCTCCCTGACACCCCCACCTTCACAACATCTTGGCAACTTAATTTATAGTTTTTCAAATCAGATTGACTGTGATCAGTACATTCAAAGGGTGGAACAAATCTGTTACGTACATTAAAGCCAGAGGAACAGTAAAATAAAACTAATAAATATTTACATTTTTGGCAATAGAATTAATGGATGCTTGAGAAATTCTGAAAGATAAACATTTAAATGTTAAAATACGTATTTCCTTCCCCACAGGGACAGGGTAGGGAATTAATGAGATAATAAATGCGAAGTGCTTTGAGCTCTTTAGAAGAAAAGTGCCAGATGAATGCAAATGATTATTGTTAAAACTTTCAGATGGTTACTAATATATTACTTATGATAAAGTACATCTTTTTATACTTGAAATATAGGATTCTTGAAATTCTTAGGATGGGATAGCTGAGACCATGCTCTCCAAACTCCTCCTAGGTCTCTCCACATTGTATTGGGAGTCATTTTTAACCCTTCCCCATTTTAGTGACCTCATACCTATCTTTCAGACAAAACTATGGAGCATGATTTCACAGCTTTCACACTTTCCTGCAACATCCCATCATTAGTCCTCCAACAGATTCTCACAGATCCATGGCCAGAGAAGAATTCCACTGACACCCCTTTCTCTGCTCCTGAGTTCTTTGATCACATAATTGTGATACCTCCCAATGCTAAGCATTGTACAAGTTGATTTTATTAGCAGGAAGTGTGTGTGAGTTAAACTGTCCCTCTGTACTTTAAGCAGTACAATCATCCTATATAATAAAAGCCTAATATGCTAAGTGTCTGACCGTTCAACCATTTGACCAGTCGCTATGACACGCACAGACCACCAGGGGGTAGACTGTCTGACCAGTAGGTTAGCTTGCTGCTGGGATCTGGCTGATCAGGACTGGGTGAGATGGGCAGACATGCCCTGGAGCCCTTCTGCGGTCCCTCCCCAGCCCCGATCTCTCGCAATCCGGGACCCCTTGGAGGATGTAGGAGAGCCAGTTTTGGCCCCATCATCGCAGGCCAGGCTGAGGGACCCACCGGTGCACGAATCCATGCACTGGGCCTCTAGTTTGTTATAAAAGAGTGCAAGTCCTTTGAATGATCAAGGACAAGTGACATTCAACTTTCTACACACCATGCTAGAATTTGTGGTAAAAGAATGCAAATCCCACATAAATTTCTTTTCATTTAGCCTGAGACACGGAATGAGATACTCTCACTAAATCGCATTCTCCTCGTATGTAAAATAAAGACAGTGGTAGTACCTACCCACAGAGGTTGTTGAAAAGATACAATAAAATAATGCATACAAAACGTCTAGTACAGTATACACCTAGCCCACAATGTTTTCAATAACAGGTAATGTAAGTAGATAGTGGAAGGTAGGTAAGTAGATAGCACAGTTAGTCATTAAATATCATCTATTTAGATTATTTAAAATCAATAGAAAATGATATGTAAAGGAAGATACTTATCATCATCCAATAATATGCTCCTAAATGGTTAGCACATTTTGCTTCTCAAACCATTGCAAACATTCAGTATTAAATAAAGGTGGCTCTACTGTTAAATGTTTGCTTCTCCTAAAAGTTTCTGGGGAGAAAAAGACACATCATTAAAAAAACACACCGCTTATTGACAAAGATTTCATTTTCTTATGTAGAGTAGTAAAAACTAAGTAATTCATCACAATTAATTTATGTTTGGGATACATTATACACACAGATATAATTTTTTTTCAAACTCCCTTAGTTTAGCAATAGCACAGTATCTTTGCTGCATACATGTGCTAAAAGATAATAGACTATGCTTCTTTTCAAATGTTCTGTAATTAAAATATTTCACTAATTTAATCTGGTCCTCTGGCTTCTTCTACTTAATTACTTGAAGTGATTGTCTTATTATACCAATTTTTCTCCTTTCATTTTGAAGCTGTAGGTTTTTAGGTAGAGAACCTTACTGCCAATCACTTTCTAATGAGACCTGAATCTGAATCTAAGGCCTGAATTTGGAAACAGGCATTCTGTAGTGTATGCAGAGAAGGAAACTGCATTGTTTGAGAAACCGATCATGTGGGTAAAATAAAAAAAAAGTACCAGAGAGGGAACTCATTTGACTATTGCCAGCAGCTTGAGGCTCCAGAGTGCTAATCAAAATTCACACACAAAACTTCCCCAATAGATTTCACCGTTTTGTACTGTTAAGAGGGGATCTCACCATGTGAAAGATCCACTGCTGTGCTGAACAAAACAGAGACAGTTTTCTTTTAAAGTCCAGAGCAGATGAGAGCCATAAGGAGACAGAGGGTTTCATTTACTCTCAGGACACGATTGTGCCAGTGAACTAATGAGTCTCTTGGACCTTATGTTGCTCTGGCTTCAATCGAGGGGAGGCTCTAATGGGCATGTAGTACTTCCTATCCGTCAAGTGTCTGGACAATGGGCCCCTCATATGGATTAGAGCGATCTGGCAAGAAAAAGAGGTCATCCTTGTACCTAGCACAGGCAGGAAACCTGGCTAATTAATGTATTTCCAACTATAGCAAGACAAAAGCTGACACACACACAAATGTTAATTTTATTGCAGAAACTCAGCCTGTGGCTGAGGCATAGTTTAAAACTTATGGAAATCCCTTAGGTAAAAAATACCTCTCCTTTCCCCAACACACTCCAGTATTTATAAAGATATCATTCTTTAAAACAACTATGTGACTTGCTTCTTTCACCCTTTGTTAAGGTTGGATGATGAATAAATATTTTGAACAGTTACAAAGAAAATGCTGAGAGTGTCAGCGCTGCATAATTTTAACAATTTGCCCTTTAACAGAGACTGTTGAATTAAGCTTGTAAAAATCCTACTGCTCTGTTCAATAGAGAACACAAATGTTTGTTCAAGCGAGAAGGCTCAAGTTACACTACATCTTAAACTAAGAGCAGATACTGCCACCTAGATAAATTCTGATGCTGTAGTGAACTAAATGTTGGCTTACCTTCCTTTTTGAAAAATAGCAACAACAAACAATAGCGGCTTGGCGCAATAAAATACAATGAATGATAAAGGGTCACTTTAAAAATCCATACAAAAGTAATTTTCTTTAAAAGGAGACATTTTTGTTTTGCCAAATATCAATGGTTAAGCCTTTATTTAACTTTTTAAATGCAGAAGACAAATTACTATTAGAAATAGGAGGAGGACACTTTATACAATATTCAAACAAAATCTCCACTATCCTGAAGTTTAGAAAGAAGTAGATGCAGAGGTGATATCAGTAAGACTTGTACATTTCTTGTTAGATATTTTCCCCCTTAGTTTGGAAAGAGGAAGAGACACACAAATAGGTTTTGGTTTAATAAGTAAAATAAGATCACTTAATTTTTTTGAGCATTACATTATAGTCTGTGCTGATACACTTCCTAGCAAACAAAGAAAACTAACTTTTCCCCTCCTCTTTTATTCCTAACAGTAAAAGAAACGTTGCCTTTTCTTAGCTCTAGTTGGAATCTAAACTCAGTAATGTATTCCAGGATCATAGACATATCAGGCTCAGAGAGGTATTTTTCTTATCATCTTTAGATTGTAGCTCTTCTTCAAATCGCTTTTTGTTTTCCTCTGTTACTCCCAGAATGACTTCAACCTCAGCAATGATGGCCTGCAAATGAACAATAAAAACGACATTCATGACTTAAACATTTCTTACAACTCTCCCCTCCCGCCCCCCCGCGGCCTCCCCCTGCCCCGCAAGTCTCCCCACCACTAAGCATTTGTTCCTTTTTGGAGTTAAGTGTGATTTAGACTACTTTGACTCAAAGTGTGCTCCACCAACCAGCATCATCTACAAGTTGCTGGTTGTCAGTCCTGATGAAATGAATATAAAAACTCTAAGAACTTGGAAATATTTATAGAAATTTTAATGTCTATTAAATGTAATAATGAAAAAAATGGGCTTCTATTGTGTACATCTTTAATTTGAGTTTTTATTATATTATTATTATTATTTTTATCAAGAAAGGAAGTTGGCCCTGGCCAGTGTGGCTCAGTTTGTTGTGGGTTTGATTCCCGGTCAGGGCACATACCTAGGTTGGGGGTTCAATCCCAGTCAGGGCGTGTAGAGGAGGCAACCAATCAATGCCTCTCTCTCATTGATGTTTCTCTCTCCCTCCCTCTCTGGAAAAAAAAAAGGATGTTGGATTTTATTAAATGTTTTTTTCTGAATTACCTTCCACTTTCTTTTTAAATATATTTTATTGATTTTTTTACAGAGAGGAGGGGAGACGGATAGAGAGTTAGAAACATCGATTAGCTGCTTCCTGCACACTCTCAACTGGGGATGTGCCCGCAACCAAGGTACATGCCCTTGACCGGAATCGAACTTGGGACCCTTCAGTCCGCAGGCCGACGCTCTATCCACTGAGCCAAACCGGTTAGGGCAAATTACCTTCCATTTTCATTCAGCCTTTACTTTGCTAGTAAATCCTTGTTGCTAAACTAAAAATATTTATTAGAATGTCATGAGGATATACTACCCAAAATGAATCTATTTCACTTTTCAAGTTTTGATTATTCCCATTTTGTTGAAATTTAACCTTTTGACCTTTTGACCTTCTATCAAGAGTAAGCATATCAAGATAATAATGATTCACACGAGAAGGCTAGAAACCATGATATTTTAAAAATCTACTTTAGAACATCTAACCTGATAATTTTGAAAGTCAGACAAAGGGCAGAGAAATAGCCTTCATTATGCCATGAGTAGTTGGCTTTGCCAACCTCAAGTCCAAACTCAGAGCCTACTAAATCCATGTAGTTTTGGGGATATACCATCTGTCATAGTATGCAGGCTGCTATAACAAACTACCACAGACTGGGTAGCTTAAAAAACAAAAATTTCTTTCTCACAGTTCTGGAGGCTGGGAAGTCCAAGGTCAATGTGCTAGCCAATTCAGTTCCTGGCTTGCAGACAACCAGGTTTTTGCTGTAGCCTCGCATGGTGAGGAGAGAGAGTGAGCAAATGCTCTGGTCTCTTATAAGAGCACTAATCCCATCATCCCACACCACCTTCATGACCTCATTTCAACATAATTCCCTTCCATCTCTATATACTGTCACTTTGGGGTTAAGGTTTCAACAGGTGAAGTTTGGGAGGACAAAATTAAGTCCATAGCACCATCAGATTCTGATTATTACCTACATTTTGACAGACTAATCTGATCATGTGCAGACAGTCTTAGAATTTTGTGCATAGCAGTAATGACAAGATGATGCTAGCTTGCAGTAACTTAGAATATAAACGATGAGCATAGATCCTTTAGGACCTGTGAAAGTTATTATAACACTGGGCCCTTTTAAAATTAAATCTTCTCAGTCATGTTATGGGAAAAGCAGTGGTCAATCTTGCAACTCATAAAATCACATTGAAGAGTACATCACATTGAATTATTATCATCGTCACCATTACTAGAAGGACCGGGGCCTAGCTCAAGGAAAAAACATATTAAAAAATCCTATTCTTAGCAAGCTTTTGTTGGGCTTTCCATTTAAGAGAAAAATAACATGTAGGTTCCAGTTGAGACCTTCGAGTTACTTGACCCGTTCAAACATGATGAAGGCTCAGGCTGGAAATCCGGTGAAAATTTTGATCATCAATACTAAATGTTCATTTCTGCTCAGCGGGTATTTTAAAACATCTTGTACAGATCTTGCTCCTGTTTCCTAGAGTTTCGAGACATTTAGTCAATTACACATGACTGGATTCTCTGGAAGCTTCGACAGTTAGTGATGGAACATCTACCCACTTTGGAGGAACAGGGTGGAGTAGATGGCTCACATATGTGCTGAGCTTTTCCCTAAACACACTGTCCTTCCTGGCCTCAGAACTCCTCTGTCCTAGAAACTTGGGCTCGCCAGGAATCCCTAACCAGACACTGAAATGTAGGTAGGTTATAGCCAGGATTTTTTTTTTTTCTGCAACAGTCTCTGTTTTGGCTCCATTGTGATGTTTTAATTTCAGTTTCAACATCAGAAAGCCCGGTTGTAGTGCAAGCTTGGGTTTGGAAATGGTAGCAAGTTAAAATAAGACTACCATATTTCAAAGAAAAAGTTTCAAACTATTACGTTTAACTAACAGGTTCAGTGAGAACCTTACAGTATTGACCCTGCACATTGTAAAAGTGTACTGCTTACAATAAAAAAAAAATGGTTTAGCACTTGTTTACAATACAGCATGAGGTATTTTCAGCCCTTGTATAGAAATCAACCAGGATCGTTAGTTAATTAACACCTCACCTTAAAATTGGTCTCGCCTTGCATATTAGGTGCTGATATTTCTTGATGGATGACGAAGAGATTGCGAGCAAAGGTCATGAGGACCCCCTGGAGATCCTCACCGATTGTTCTGTTAATGATATCCAAACAAATGAGTTTACCAATGATTCCCCTCACATGCTTAAAAACAATCACCCTCTCATTTGTGCCTGTCTGGTGATGGAATTTAATGAGTATTTTCAATCTCACAAGGTGGCAATCTTCAGGGAGATATGAAAGATGAGGCTCCATTTTAACTTGTCAACAAAAAGGATTTGTGTAATAAATATTTTTTATTAATCAACTTAGCAGAATATAGGAATAGATTCAGTCATTTGTAGCCAAAGGCTACCACTGAGTGAGGACAGGAGTATTGAGAAGCTCATTTTAAAAATTGTTTAAGTTAGTTTAATAGAATCGTTGCTAAGTGTAATTCATGCCTAACAATTTCCTTGCCTACCGAGACATTTGCACCTCAGTATTATTTTCTACTTCATGTATACAAGTGACTCCTTCTACTACTTATAAGTGGTGCCCTACCCACATTGAGACATGACAGCAAGCTAAAATAAGACTACTATATTTCAAAGAAAATGCCTCTTTCATGGGCAGCTATCTTTATAAAGCTGAACACACACTTTAAGAAAATCTCAGTGGTGACTTGCAAACCATCCTGTAGAATACTACTGTGTTTCTAAACAACTAGATCATTGTAAATTTTAATTTGAAAACAAACTCCAAGGTATTTATTTCTAGCTATTTTTTGAACTTTATCAATAGAAAAGAATAGATTAAATGAATGAGTTAATTAAAAAAAATTGTTCTGTCCTGAGGGGCTGAACCTAAAGAGCTAGTTGCTCCTTAAGTCAGCTGCAAAAAAACTTTGCAATTACTTCTTTCCTAGTTGTTACCTGTGAAATAAATCACCTTAGAATGTCAGACCTAGACCTTTTGGGAAGGCTACCTTCCAACCTGATCCTGCTTTCCCTGGGGTCAGGGCGGGACTAGAAAGCTTCCCAGGGCCCAAGGCAGGAGACCAGGGCTCTTTCCCCTGCCACTGACTGTGTGACTTTGGGGACAGTTACTTGATCTCTCTGGGTCTTCATTTCTTTATCTCTGAAATGAAGGAATTGGACTAGATCAGTGCTCCCAAACTTTGTGAGGTATATTTCCCACATCTAAAGACTGCCCGCCCCCGCCCCTTATAGCTACTGAACATTGGTGTCTCTGCTTTTAGGAGTATAAATATCACTCAAGGCAACTTCAGAATAGATAATTTAAAAAAGGTATTTGTGTTTTATTGCTGCAGGGTCAGTATATATTAGACCCCGGATGCTCCTAAAATAGCAGACTCCCAGGCTCTCCCCCAGATCAATAAAATCTTAATCTTTGGACTTGGAACCCAGGAATATGCAGTTTCACCAAGTCCCCCAGATGATCTTGATATATACAAAATATTGAGAACCATACTTCAAAAAAGTATAGTTGTGTGTATGTGTGTGCATGCGTGTGTATGATATAGAGGCCCACATACTGCTGGGGTTCATAGTTCTCAGATTGGGAACTAAGAGGCTGGATGGACTTTAATTAATTTAGGTCCCTATTAATTAATTCATTTCTAGAATTTCCTTCACTTTCGCTCCCTGAAATTTCTCTTCAAATTCCACTATTCCAGGAAATAGTCCAATGTAAATGGAGCTGGTATGAAGTTATCTTGGTAAAGCTAAGCCACAAAGTTCTGGTATATAAGGTCATCCCATCCTGGAACCCTCACCTTTCCTAAAGAGGTGGCCATCTGACCTTCTTCACCCAATAGGACCTGATCACAGTAAAGCCAAGTGGAGCCCAGCTCTCTCATGGAAAGCTTCTCCTTAAAGCACCAGAGAAAATTTAAGCAACATGAAGGGGGGGAAAAAGCTTATATCTGCTCATCTCTTCCTTTTCAATTTGAGTTCTAGAAAATGAGGACTGTCTCCTGGCCACTGTCTATTAAGTTGTCTATTTCCAACCTCCATGTCCATGCCTTAGTGCAATCCCTGTATACTAGCTATAATTCCACCCTTTCATCTTACACTCAAGAAAGCACAACTAGATGCAAGTGAGAATCTCAGCAATAATCCTCAATCCTATCTAATAGTCAGAAAAAGTAAATTAGTAAACTCAATATAAACTTGTATAAGTAGTGAAGCACCTCACTATAGGCTGAGAATCTCTATATTCCATAAAAGTGTTCTAAGGTGGCCACACAATATAGTCATTGTGGTGTAGTGAAAAGAACAATGGATTTGAGGTCAGGAGACACAATCTACTGTGTGACCTCTAATGGGATTATTTCTTAGAATAGTGGAATAACCATCTAGAAGATACACTAATAAGACTAGTCTGCAGGTCAAGGCATCCTTGCCTGATATCTCAGGGGCATGTGTAGCCACAGTTGGGCGGGTTCCTCTTGGTCTAATTATTCATTCTGTAGGTTTCAGCATCAAGTCAACCTTACTGCTTGGTCAGTTTGATGATTGGGGGTGTTCCTTTTTCACAAAACAGCCTCTTCTTCCAACTCCTAAATTCTGTGATAGTTTTCTTCTCGCCTGTTTCTCTATGCCCTAGTACCCACCTGGATAAAGCTTTCCAGGGCCCATACTTCAGGAGCTCTGCCCCTGCCCTGTTAACACTATCCTTGTCTCATACTGTCAGTTCTAGGACACAAGTCCTGTTCCTGAGTGACAGCTTTTGCTAATGGGCTCCCTTCATGCACCCCTTGCCGTCTTGGGTCTCTAAAAGCAGCCTCCTCTCTGAGCTCCTACGGTCTTGTTCCTTCCACCCAGACCTCAGGTTGTCCATTTACTCTTTGTAGTTGGAACATTCCTGGCTGGTGCTGCTTGTTGGGATGACCTCCAGGTTCCTGAACCCTGTTTATTTTTTGCTTGCCTGGCTGTTCTTTTCTGAAGGGCAGTCACCCCTCCCAGCCTTGTCACCATGCGTGGGGTTTGCCTAGTTCCACTCCCAGCCCTACTTGTCCTTTTCAGTCGACCTTTCGTGCCAGCCAGTGCCCAGTGAGGTGGAGTTCATGTCTCTGCATTCTAACTTCTAGTTCTTGTACTTAACTAATCCATTGTCTGAATTCCTGAGCTTAGAAATGTACTTGGATCTTGAACCTTACCGGCTCAGTCAGAATCATAACTATACACATTTCATATTCCCCAGCTGCCAACTTCAAATCCAGTTGAATGCTTGGTTCTCCCAGTCCCAGTAACTGCCTGGTGGCCTGTGTCCTGCCACAGCCCTGGCATCAGTGACAAGTTTGGAGGGAGTGGAACAGGAAGTATTTCATCTCTGGTGTTCTGGCTACTGGTGCCCTTTTCTGACTTACTGGGAGTCGACATGCTAAATCATTTTTAATGCCTGTTACAACTGATAATACTTTGGTAAAACAAAGAACTGTACTTTGGATAGGGAGTAGAGACCTGTCCTGTGCGCATCTCTGCCTGTTTTCATGTGGGACCAGTGTCTAGGAGACTGAACATCTGGGGAGAAACTGAGGCTGTTCAGGAACATTGATACTTAACAGAAGAATAGGCTCTTGCTTGGTCAGTTTTTATAAGAACAGGTCTGAGTTTGTGTGTTTCAATGTGAGGTCACACTGCTCTAGATGTTATAAGGAGAGACATATAGGGCAGAAACGGTTTTCCAATAAATTAGGATGACTTTAAAGGACCCACTAACCATATTCCAAGATATGAAATAAGGCACAATTCAAGATGGTGGTTCTAAAGTTCTGAGTCCTAGATGAGGAGACAACTTTGCTTTCTCTCCAATATCCCCTGGAGAGAAATTCCTAGGAAACAGGGAAGCATAGAGAAGCCTCCTGAGCGCCCCAGCGGGGCTCTTCTCAGCACACGTGCATCTTGAGAAGACTGGACCGCGGCCAAAACTGGGTATGAGGAGGGCCCACAGACCCTGCTTTTTTTGGGGGGGGGGGGGCATTTGCCAAAGGCACCAGAACACTTTTCTAAGTATGCCAGTAGCCCTTCCACAACTACAACATCTGAGCTTGCTCATCACGAGTCAGATTGTGTGTGTGTGTGTGTGTGTGTGTGTGTGTGTGTGTGTAATATGTTGTTGAAACTAGCCTCTTACTCATCAATCTGAATAATTAATCAATTATATTCATGAACTCCCACTGACACATCTAAAGTCATTGTGTGAAACACTTGAAGATCTAAATAAAATAAGTTAGACTTCCAATAAATCAGCATGCTGATTTTAAAAAGAGCCTCATAGACAGACAACAGTATGGTGATTACCAGAGGAAAATGGGGGTGGAGGAGGTAGGGGAGGCTAAAGGGAGGATACATGGTGATGAAAGGAGACTTGACTTGGGGTAGTGAACACACACTACAATATACAGATGATGAATTGTACATCTTAGGCCTATATAATGTTATTAATCAATGTAACCCCAATAAATTCAATTTAGAAATTTCTCAAAAAATGCATGCGAAGTGTCATACTTGTTGGTTGTTATAGTCTATTTTCTTAGCTTATTGTATCTCATAGACATACTCACAACATTCCCAACTTGTTTCTCTTCAAGTGTTCATATAATATGAAAACAGTTCCTTGTCTGTCCTATAAAATTTGAATGGGGAGAAAAGAAATAGCATGTTATGTTGAAACAAAGTAAAGAAAATGTACTGTATTATGACCACTAAGGCAGATTTGAATTGAAGTCTAAAGCTAACTGTAAATACTGTGAGAAATACAGAGGGAAAGGCTGTCTCCAGCATATGGAGTAGATATATTCTAGGACAGTGTTGTTGTTTTTCAATTGAGATATAATTTACATATAACATTGTGTAAATTTAAGGTGTACAACATGTTCATTTGATATATTAATATATTGCAATATGATTACCACTGTGGCTTTAGCTAAGATCTTTATCACATCACATTATTTCTTTTTTACAATGATAACATTTAAGATCTAGTCTTTTAGCAATTCTGAAGTATGTAATACAGTATTATTGACTATAATCACTATGCTGTGTATTATTAGACTTCATCTTCTTTGTACCCTTTAACAATATATCTACAATTCTCACCTCCTCACTCCCCCTGGCAAGCCCATTCTACTCTCTGTTTCTATAGCTTTGGCTTTAGATCCCACATATAAGTGATATCATACAATATCTGTCTTTGTCTGGCTTATCTCATTTAGCATAATGTGCTCAAGGTCAATCCATGTTGTCACAAATAGCAGAATTTCTTCCTTCTTATGGCTGGATAATATTATACACACACACACACACACACACACACACACACACACTTGTCATATCTTCTTTTATCTATTCATTCATCAGTGGACTCCTAGGTTGTTTCCATATCTTGGCTATTTTGAATAATGCTGCAATGAACATGGAGGTATAGATATCTCTTCAAGATGGTGACTTTGTTTCCTTCGGGCAGATACCCAGAAGTGGAATTGCTGGGTCATATGGTAGTTTTATTGTTAATTTTTGAGGGACCTCTATGGTGGCTGAATCAACTTCCATTCCTACTGGGCTCTCTTTACTCCACATCTCCACCAGCACTGTTACTGCTCGTCCAGGACAAGGTGTTTTGGAAGTCAGATCCTCAGAATACTCACATCAAAATCATCTAGTTAAATGCTTGTTAAAACGCGTTTTTATGGGCATCATCCAAGCTCAGGATCATTGGGAGGAAGTCTGCATGTTAGCGTACTTCCCAAATGATTCTCACGCACGTCAAAGTTTGAAACCACTATTCTAAGAGCAACGGGTAAAAAAATATAGAGAAGCAGTTTGTTGTGTGGAAAATAATTTGTATTTCAATGGAAAACTGTGTGTTGTCTGTGGCACATCCTATGTCCTTCGTTCTATGGGAGATCTTTTGCAACTCTGTAGGTTGTAGGTGATTCAGAGACAAGCAGATTCTGTCCATAATTTCATTGATCTTTCTCTCTTGCTCCCCTTGTGGAAAAACCAGTTTTGTGCCATTTGCACACTCACTTCAATATTTCTGATCTATAAAGATGTCTATTTTTGGATTCATTTTTGTACTGGTTATAACATCTGCCTAAAATCTTCCCTGTTAAATAAAATCTTTATCTCATGTTGTATCTGTCTGAGAGGCATTATTTTATTTGAAAATTATTATTTTACCAGTGTTCTCCAAATTAATAAAAGTTAGCACTGGAGCTATTCAATGGTGTCATGGCTGCCCCATGAAGCTGTGAACTTCTGATCTCTGGAAGTACAAAAAAGAAAACAATGTTTTGGGGATTTGGTAAGAGATATGACACTCCAGAATTATGAATGCCCACTGACTCCCCATTGTATCAGGGAATCTGGGCAGGAGGACAGATGTTGGACTAGAATAATGGCTCTCAAGGCTGCCTGCACATTAAAATCATCTGAGTGCTTTAAACAATATAGTTCCTGGGCCCTATCTGTGGAAATACTGATTTAGTTGGGCCCTGGGTACAGTGTCACACTGAGCCATAGGAGCCTGAGCCTAAGGAAAATCAGTATGTTTGTATATAAATTTTGATATTTTGTTCATTATAAATTTTTTGGCATTAAATTTGATTTTTAACATATTGCATTATAATATCATTTATCTTTATTACCGAGTGTGTGTGTGTGTGTGTGTGTGTGTGTGTGTGTGTTCCTTTAAGTTTTGTGCTCTGGGTACAAGACAGTGTACCCAGGTACCAGGTAAGTGCTTAACTTGCCTCACCCTAGTCCCAGCCCTGCCTGGTTATCTGCCTGGGCATCAGAATCACTCGGATCATTCTGATGGGCAGCCGGAGTTGAGAACCACTGACAAATTGATTTGTATGGTGTCTCACACCCTTTACTGTGCTGTCCAATATGGTAGCCACTAGCCACATGGGACTACTGAGAACTTGAAATATTAGTCATTGAAACTTAGATGTGCTGTAGCTTTAAAAAAAACTTAGGACAAAAGAGTAAATTATCTCATTACTTTTTATATTAATTCCATGTTGAAATGACAATATTTGTTTTCTGTTTGGGGAGCATCCTTTTCTTGATACTAATTTCTGAGTCAATCAGATAGGTTAGGTCAGGCTGCAGTAATTTAAAAAAAACCCACAAACAATTCTTCGTTGTTTATAACAATGACAGTGTGGTTTGTGCTCATGCTCCATTTCCCACATGGGTTGGCATGGGTTCCTAGTAGCTGTTGGTACACTTGGGGACCCAGGCTGTACGTAGCTCCATCTCAATGTACTTCCATGATTTCCAAGGCAGGAAAAGAATATGGCAACTCATGCAGTGGCTCTTAAAGGCTTCTGCATAGAAAGGATATACACCTGCTCATATTTCACTGGCCAACCAAGCTCCAGCGCCATGCCTGGCTTCAGGGAGAGGGCTGAGGAAGTACACTTCTGTTGTGTGCCCGGAAGAGGAGAATAAGAATGTTTTGAACAGTCCTAATGATTGCCACCATGGCAGCATCCTGGCCTTGGGAAATGCCTGCTGGGTGTGGTGGAGCTATTTAGGACCGTGGCACACTGCCTATGTGTGTGGGAGACCAGCCCTCCTCACACTGTCGCAGGCAGTGAACATGAAGCTCTCCTCCATGTGGCTTTCGTTGAAACGTCATTTCATTAGGAAATCAGTGGGGGTATTTTGCAGCATTGCAGAAATACCAAGCATGAGACCCACCAAGCTGGTTACAAACTCAGCAATGCTTCCTTCCACTATTCAGCAAGGACAAATAAACTCATAGGGTGATCTCATTTCCCTTTTTGTTTTTCCCTGAGATTTGGGACAAGCAACATCGTTTGAAATTCTGTGAGAATAATGGGAGGAAACATATAATGTCACTTGAAATTCTGTGATAATGGGAAGAAAAACATAATGTTGAGAGTAAGGACTTTTAAGAATGTTCCTGTTGGTAGCATTGACGATGATAGATTGTTAATGTTGTTCTTTTTCTGGAAAGAGCACCCACATTAAATTCGACCACCAGTGGGAAGAGGTAGCAGAGGTGACGCTGAGCTTTTTAGATTCAGCATAATCCAAGGAGGCAATACAACGTTAGAGAAGTTACTTGTTAAACAATTCGTTTGTAAGTTAGAAATAGTCATGGTGGCTATGAAGAAGTTTGTGCTTCTTTAGCTGAGGAATACATAAGGGGTACCTAGGTGGAATAATTTGAAATGGTTCCCAGAATTCTTGGGTGAGTTGGTAAGGTGGTCCTTAGGTGGGGGAAAAGGCACATAGGGGACTGCTTGGTGTTTGACTCTATGGACAATTATTGATTCAAATGTCAGTTCTACAGAACAATTGGCTGCGTGATCTTGTGAAAGCGCTTATACTCTTTGAACCTAATTCCTCAGTGTGATCTGGTAGAAATAATAGCTTCTTACAAAAGAGATATGAAGATTAAAGAGATAACGAAGTACTAGTGCTTAGCCCAGTGCCAGCGGATAGTAGGTGCTTTGTAAGAGCTGGTTCATCACCTGCCTGTTAAGATAGGCAATTAAGAGAAAAAGTAGACTGTCTGACCAGGGATGGACTCATGGGCCTAAACATATGAGAACCCATCTCAGGAAAACTAGAGCAGGACATTGTTGAAGAATTTCCAAATAGTCACATGACTCTTTTTTTTTTTCCCACCTCAGATTTTTAGGACTCTATTCTCTCCACCCCCTCTCTTTCTGGTTGTGCTTCTGTTTATTTTTGGCTCTTTTTCTCCCTGTTTATCCTCTTCTCATTTAAAAAAATGGATTCTTCTGGATTTTATCCTCTCTTTTATTCTGTTATCTTTTTCGTCTTCATATGGTTCTATCACTGCATTGCCCTCAATCTTATTTGTCTTTCTCTCCCATTTCATCTCTCACATTTTATAAGTTGCTCAGCACAGGTGACCTGGAGGCAGAGCTGTGTCTTCATTGACCCTCTGCACCTTTCTGTAAATTTCCTCACCCTCAGTGGAACTTCTCCCTCTGCACCATCCGCTGTTTCCCCTGGGCCATGGCGGTCTGTTTCCTGCCCTAAAATTTGTTCTTAGAAATGAATCTGATCAACTCAGAGCCACAAAGGTATAAATAACATAATAAAATTGGTGCTTTCCTTTTTCCCAGGAGTTCTAGAACTTCAATCAAGTACAAAGCCTCTAGCCAAAGAAATCAATCTTTAATAATAATTTCAGGCAATAGGAAGTTAGGGAGTATGTTTTCTTCGAGGTAGGACACTTCCTGCCATATAATCCTATTCACAGAGCATGCTCTGTTTGATATTTTAGGAAAAAATAAATCCAATAGCTTGAGATAAAGCTAGAGTTAGATTTAACCACCTTCTGGTACATAGATGTGTTTCAGTCTCATCAGTTTGGAGCTAAAAACTAATTCCAAAGGGATTGTGTTGAGCAGATGTAACAATTAATTTCAGGTAAATCAGTTCAATCTGGCTTTTCTCATTCTTTCTATATTTTACCAATTTTAATGTAATTTGCAAGAGAATATGAGTTCCATTATATGTTTGCAAACAGCACCAATCAATCTAATCAAAGGGCCTTATGCACCCTGGCAGTGCCCTATAGTGTGGTGGAGATGGCCAAGTGTTAGTAAGGCCATTCTATTCACTGTTGGCCTTGTGCCGAAGGTCTATATGCTTTTCAAGGACCTATAAAAAGTCTGGGTCCCTAAACACTTGAATTTGTTCTCAAGTATGAAAAATCAAAATTAATAAATGTAGAACTGAATATCTGCAAATCAAAACATTTAATCAATCGGTTATTGCCCAATTCTTATGTCATTATCTATAAATTACATTTAATGTGAGAGAAGACTAGATTTTAACAGGTTTGCTGTGATGTGGGGTCGTGGGGTGGGTCTCCCACAAGTAAGAGTGCATGGGTCACTTAGGTCTTGAACAGCCATCAGTGGCAGAGATTTAAAAATCTGAATCAAAGTGCAAAACCATGAAACTATTTCTCAGAGTAACATGAGTCTCTAGGCACAAAAATGGAGGGTCTGGCTTAGGTAGGAGATATTATATCTCACTTGCCCCCGCCCATCTACATTATGGATGAAGCAGCTGGGCACGGGGCATCAATATCACCAAAAAAAGACTCCAATTGGGAAAAATTGTTTTTATGAGAACACCTTCTAGAAAGAAACTACTATTTTCAGGTAGAAGGATGATATGAACTGAACTGCATATACCCCTTCCCCCAATTCATGTACTGAAGCCCTAACCCCTATGTGACTGTATTGGAAATGGGGCCTTTAAGGAGGTGATTAAGGATAAATAAAGTTGTAAGCTGGAGCCCTGTCCCGATGGAACTGGTGTACCTATAAAAGAGGTTACAGAGACACCAGAGCTCTCTCTCTGTGCCACATTAGGACACAGAAGGTGGCCATCTGCAAGCCAGGACGAGAGCCCTCACTAGGAACAGTATAAGGCATCTTTTCCTTGGTCTTCCCTGCCTCCAGAGTTGTGAGAAATAAATTTCTATTGTGGTGTTGTTATGCCAGCTGGAGCAGACTAAGACAGAGGATAGAGGTTGCTAAACAGCTTTGGGTGGGGTGAGGGAGCTTAAGGGTATGCTTCAGAATCAAGAAATGGCCCCCCAAATTCCTCCTAAGTCTGGTGAGCCACCAAGCTTTTGCTTTACCAAGGTGGGTGTGCAAGTTTGGTGATAGAGCTGAACTTCCCAGGACCAAGTGTGGAGCTGCCTTTCTACCCTTCCCTAAGCATCACTCAGCCTTCCTCTAAATGCATGTCAAACTAGTGTTTGCAGAGGATCTGTTTGAAGGGGCCCCAGATTATTAGCTGCCTGGATCGTCCACAGGCCTGTATTTATTTGGTCTAGCTTTGGCCAACTGTCACCCTTTGTACCTCAATGTCATAGCCGATGCCATGGGCCTTACACATCTGGAGAAAAACATAGGGGAAAATCAGCGACATATTGTTGTGCTTCAGCTGGGTGGTCATCACTGCGTAGCGATGGGTTGCCTTCATCTGGAAAAGACCGCAACTGAATGTAAGACTCCTTACAAAATATTTACGTAAGCGTTTGATCTTAGAATAGTTGTAGATTAACAGACAAGTTATGAAGATAATACGGAGAATTCCTACTTACCCCATATTCAGCCCCTTTTTGTTAACATCTTACACTGATGTGATAATGCATTGTTTGTCATAACTAAGAAACCAAATTGCTACATTACTATTAACGTAAGTCCATATACTATTTTAGATTTTATTTCTATTTTATTAGTTCTCCCCTAGCTCACTCCCCTCCTCCTTTTTTTATGTTTCAGGATCCCATCCAGGCTACTGCATTGTATTTAGTTTCCACGTTGCTTAAGTTCTTCTGGACTGTAACTGTTTTTCAGGCTTTCCTTGTTTTCGATGATCTTGACAGTTTTGAGGAGCACTGTTTAGCTGTTTCATAGAATGCCCCTCACGTTGGGTTTGTCTGATGTTTCTCATGATTTGAATGGGGGAATGTGTTTTTGAGAGGAGGACCACATGGGAAAACTGCCCTTCTCATCACCTTCAATCAAGGGTACTGATGAGGCATCCTTATCTCTGGCAAAGGTGCTGTTGGCCAGGTTTCTCGCATAGGTAGACTTTCCCCCTTTCTACACTGTACTCTTCAGAAGCAAGTCACTCAGCACAGTCCGCTCCTTGGCAGCACCAATGTTACAACTGTTATTTCAACTGCTTTCTTTGGGAAACTGACATTCTTTATTTTGCCTGCCTATCAGTAGGAGCTACCCCGAAGAGGCTGGTTCCAGTAGGCCTAAAGTATTTCAGCTGTAATATTTCTTAAAAACATATTTAAAATTTAATATGTACAAAAGAAAGTATTGGAACCTGGCAGTTCTGTAGCATGTCCTTCGTGACATGTGATATTTGCCTTTGACAATCAATTATATTTGTCCTTGGATAACTGGAAACTTGGAGAATGGCAAACAGGGCCACGGCCAACCTTTGGGCATAGAAAATGAGGGCTCCTGGCCCAGATTTTGAACTTTGGGATCCTTCAAGTGTTGGGCAACCAGGTGCCTGCCCTAGTGCAGTACTTGGAATAGAAGGAAAAGATGCTGTTGATCCCCAGTGGACTGCAAGGTTCATGAGACCTGACACTATCTATGGTGATGCTTCACTCTCTCTCTGTGTGTGTCTCTGGGACCACACGGGGAACTGAGGCTGACTGAGTGCCCAGCAGAGACTGAACATCACACACACACACACACACACACACACACACACACACACACACACAATTTCATGGTCACCTTTTGAGACATATTTCCCCCACATATTATGTCTCTTCAACATTGACAGAAAGTATTATATCTGATGGTCCCGTCGTCAGGACTATTAATGAAGTCTGCTCTTCCCACGTGTAAGCTGAGTCCACATCTATAAAAATGTTAGGCTCCCAGGCTCAACATGCGTCTTGGTTTGTGTGCCTCTGTTAGTATTGTCCCATTTGTAGCCATTGGGAATTTCCTTTTTATAAGAGAAAACCTCTTTGAGCCTCATTGGTCTCACACCTGTACTTGCCGTCACCTGGCTGATCAGGAGTTGTTCCCCTGGTTGACCCCCTTACATGGCCAGAGGCTTCCTGAGGGCAGGCACTGTTTGGTTTCTGAATCCCAAGGCTGGGCAAGTTGTGAGCACAAAACAGGCAATCCATGTTTTCTGAATGAAAGAAAGAATAGATAAACAAAATACAATAACTGGATAGCACTTCCCTCTGACTTAAGACCTCAAAGGCTATAGAATTCAGGGGACTTGTGGTTAATGAGTGCGTTGTGGCAGAAGCCGGTGATTCAGAAAGAGCAGAGGTTAGTCACACCATCCCTAGAGAGTGACAGCTCAGGGCAGCCACTCTAGTCCTTGGCCTCAGAGGACATCTTCTGGAAGAGGGTGTGTTTCTGGTAGACTTGTCAGGAATTATTGGTGGGCTTTCCAGCTACAAAAAGTTCTAGTTCAGCTGCTGGGTCAATGGGGGGAGAGCATGGTCCCAGGCCTGCTCGCCCTGCCATGCCCCGCCGTGCCATGCTCCTGCCTGCACCACGAAGGCCCAGAAGCCTGAGCTTTTGTATATGGAAGTGAACTGTAAATACTCTGGAATTCCATTGTGGTTACTGAGCATGTAATTGCATGGTAATTACCATGAATTCACAAGATAATTCCAAGGTTATTTTTGTCTTCTAAACTTGTCTTATGCTGCCATAGTATATAAACCAGCAAATACGAGATCAGGCCCCAGTCAGCGAGGGAGAGAGGCAGGCAGGCGTCTGGTAGCAGGATCCAGCACAGTGCTGTTTGTCTTGGCTCTAAACCATGAAGAAGAGCTCAGTGTCCAGTGTGTGTTTCTGGACAGCAAGTGAGGACAGGCTGGCCCGAGGTTTCTTCCTCTCTGCAGACACAGGCTGCAATTCCTCCTCCTGCTAGACCTTGGCTCTGAGTCATAAAGAATCTGAAAGCAAAGCCAGGATATTGGGTGTATGTCTCCAAGCTGCCTCCTCTTTTCCATCACCATCACCATCCTCGTCCAGACTTTGCTGGCTGGGGAGCTGCTCTCCGTCCTCCGTGGGAGGTGGGGATGCCAGCAGAAGTCTGTAGTGAAATGTTACATGGAGTCAGACTGACTGAGGTCCACAACCGGACTAAGCTACTTGCTATACATGTGGTCTTGAACTTGGATGATTAAATAAGCACCTAGCACAGCTCTTGACACCTGATAAATGGCAGGCAGCTATTATCTGTGTTGCTGTTTCTTTGAAAGCATCTACCGGGCCTGGAGCATTTTGGACCTACACTGAACGTTATTCCCCAGGCGGGTCCTTTTCCCCGCTGGTCCCTGGGGCTCTGAGCACGACCATCGGACTGGTTGTCTCCTGAACCCAGGATGGTCGATGCTCGGAACTCTCCAGTGTCTCCTCCTTGCCTTAAGATGCAGTCCACATACCTGGCTAGGTGGGCAGACTCTCCCAAATGTGCTCAGTGGACCGCTCCCACCACTTCTCTCACTGCCCACCCCCAGGTTCTCTGCCTCAGCCCAGCAGGGCCATTGCCATCTCCTAACAGACCAGGGGCTCTCTTTGCTTCTGTTCTTTCTTCTGGGGGGGGGGGGGTGTCTCCCTCTCCTCACCACTTAGTGGCTGTCTTAGTATTTAGGGATGGACTGACTTCTATGTTGTTAATAAGGCGTTCCCTGCCCACTCCCTCACCCCATCCCCCCAGTCCACAGTTGATCCCAGGAACTTTAGCGGCAGGTTGTGGGGCTGTTGCTCAACTGGCACTTAAATGCAGACGTAGGTTTCTCCTTGTGTCGGTGCTATTTTGTATTTCTTTCCAACTCCTCAAGGACAGGAGTTTGTCAAAATGTTTTTGCATCCCTAATGCTCGGTGAAATTCCTGGCATATATTAAGTGCCTAATAATTGTGTAATTATCATGCTAACAAAGATGAACATACATGATACTCCTATATTTTTTAAGACTTAACCAGCTCTGTGGTTTCTATAGGAAAAAGGTGTCAGTGATCTGGGGCTGTCTTTTATCCAGCCTGATAGCACAGGGCAGTGTTGTCGTGAGGTTTGGATGAGTATGTAAGGACCGTGGAACAGTGTCTGGCACAGAGAAAGCACTCAAAAAATGGTAGCTCATTGCTGTGGCTGGTGTGGCTCACTTGGTTAAGTAACATCCCATGTAGCAAAAGGTCACCAGTTTGATTCCCGGTCAGGGCACATACCCAGGTTGTAGGTTTGATCTCTAGGGGCACACAGAAGAGGCAGCTGATCAATGTTTCTCTCTCATATCAATGTTTTTCTCTTTCCCTCTCCCCTGCTCTCTCTAAAAAAAAAATCAATAAAAATATTTTAATTAAATAATATGCTTATAAAAATGTGAGCTCATCATTATTTCTTAATTAAAATAATTTCACAAATAAGGAAAATTATCCTATATAATAAAAGGCTAATATGCTAAGTGTCCGATCAGCCATTCAATCAATCAAAGCATAATATGCTAATGATATGCTAAGGCTGCTCAACCGCTTGCTATACGTGCACTGACCACCAGGGGGCAGACAGTCGACTGGTCAACCAGTTGCTATGATGTGCACTGACCATCAGGGAGCAGAAGCTCCGACCAGTAGGTTAGCTTGCTGCTGGGGTCCAGTTGGTCGGGACTGAACGAGATGGGCTGAACACACCGTGGAGCCCTCCCACGTCTCTCCCCAGCCCGATCGTGCACCCGTGGGGTCCTTTGGTCTGGCCTGTGCCCTCTTGCAATCCCCTGGGGGACCTCTGGGGGATGTGGGAGAGCTGGTTTCAGCCTAATCCTGCAGGCCAGGCTGAGGGGCCCCACTGGTGCACAAATTTGTGCATTGGGCCTCTAGTTTAAAATAAAAACTGACCAACTGACCAATCAACCTTTTCTTTAGAAAGGGACTTAACTCAGAAGACCCGGGCTTTGCCACTTACTTAACTCTATGACCTTGGGCAGCTCACTTAACTTTACATAACCTCAGTTCCCTAATCTGTAAAATGGATATGATAACCCCTGTCTTCTTTATTTCTCAAGATTATCAGGGGTTCAAATATGCTCATTTCTATTTTAAGTATAAAACATTATACAAAGATAAAACACCATTTGTAAAAGGGTAACTTGTATAACCTACTCTCTTCGGATGCTGTAAAGTGTGCCAAGGACATCATGACCTAGATGGGCTTTGTAGTATCAGAAGCCTCCTCCACAACCACCCGGTCCATTCAGTGCTCACTGAGTCTCGGCCAGGCTCAGAGCAGATTAGAATCCAGTGGATAATGGCAACAACCTCATCACACAGGTAGATGAAGCCTCTTTTGGAAGATGAGCTTTCTCTGTGGCCAGAGACTTCTTCAGGGATGAGCTTAAGCTCTGTTCTGGGGCTGAGTCACTGATGCTCAGCCACTGCAAGGCAGGGTGGATAGCACAATGGTCAGACACACAGGCCCTAATGTCTGACAGGCCTGGGCTTCAACCTTAGCTTCTACACTTGCTTAGCATCTCTTAACCTTGGTCTTCTGATCTAAAAACAAGCATAATAATAGCACCCGCCTAATATGTGGGTTGTATAAGGATTCATGTAAAGCGCTTAAAGTTCCCGGCATGGGGTCAGGCTTGATACATTCTGGACGTTCTGATCGTATTATTATATGCATTATAGTTATCTGCTGACCCACCTGTGTTCCCTAGTAAAGTTGGAGCTCTTTGCTACTCATCCTATCGCCTCTGGGCTTAGTAGAGTGTCTGGCACAAAGCAGTTATTGACTAAATACTTGCTGAATTTACTTCTAGTTGATTTTTGCTGAAAGTATGACTGATAGCTAAGGTAATGGCTGATGAGGACTTAGGATGTGACCTGTCATGACATTATTACTCCTTCCTAAAAGATTCTGCAAGAACAAGACCTTTTAATGGAAGGCTGGGGTGTGGAGGGATGGCCCTTTCCTGTGTCCCCTTACAGGACATGTCTCCTCCCACTATATACGAGGCTGCCTGGGCAAGGCTTGGTAGAGAGCCCCACTTTCCAGACCCCACAAAATCAAATCCCTCAGGAGAACTTGAGGGTCATTTTGCTCTCCCTTCTTTTACAAATGAGAAAACTGAGGCAGACAGAGAATCAGAATTCATGACCCCTGACTTCTGACTAGTGCTCTTCACTTCAAATTCCCACTGGCCACATTGGGAATGTGTGGGAATCCCAGAGGTTAGCCCTTTCTAGTAAAACAAGGGGGAGAAAATAGAAGACAACACATTATCGGTAGAAGTCTAGTTTTATTAAACTACCTTTCTAAATCACAATCTAACAAGAATGCTTCCAGCCAAATAAAGGAAGCTGGAAATACTCCTTTTCACTGGAGAATGTAATTTTGCTTCCGCCACAATTTAAATCGATTTAGTTCTGAGCACCGGCACTTGAAGTGTGGAGCATATTCTATTTTTGCCATGATACTTGTTTTGACAGTGATGCATTTCAGTTGACATAGTTGAAATCCTTATGTAATAAATCTCTGCCTGAAAATTAATCATGTTTATAATATTCTGAGAATTAATAACACCCATTGCTCAAATCATTAACTTAAAAAAGGAGCTTCCAAAATCTGTTCTCGGCAGTAAGGGACCACAAATAAATGAATGTTTGATAAAATAATCCAAGTAGCAGTTTAACAAGCGTAAACTTGAATGCGGCTGCAATAACACAGAACTATTGTTTAAGGGTTGGCAGAGGCTGATGGGGTTCTTATTTCAGTTACGAAGCAGGCATCCACATGCATAATGAACTGCTCTCTGAATTATTAATGTGCTGCTTATTTAGCCTCATCTGTCTGGAAGATAATGTATCCTAACTGTAATGAGTGATTGGTTTTGTATATAATTACAGGAGCAGCAGTAGTGGGGGAAATGTGTGCCTTCAAAGGAGGAATTCTAAAAATAAAGTCATCACATAAACTTGGTTGTTGCTGCATTCTATCAAAATCAAACCCGAAGCATCGGAGAATTCATAATAAATTACCGGGGACAGAATCATTATTAACATCATAATTTAACACAAAAGGTTTTACTTAATCATTCATTACAGATCGTGTGCTGTTAAAAATGCTTATAAATGACTTGGGTTGTTTGAAGATGTTTGCAAAGATGGTCTCTTGGCCACTCACCAACTGCGGTGCGGAGGGCCCCACAGAGAGAGAGGAGGCGTAAAAACAGGTCGGAAAGGGTGACCACTTATGCCTATCCTGACAGAACGTTACATTAAAAGTTTAAAAGTTGTTAGGTGACTTCTTTTCATTTCTAACACGTGCACCTCTGGGACTCATCACGTCTTGTTTCTGAATTCCATGGGTCATCCGCGGAGGGCCCTGGGTCAGAAACCCATGCACCTGGCCTAAATGGGTCTCAATGACAGTTCTTTGCCACCTGCTTCAGACGTGGGACGACAGCTCCTCTTCGAGTCCGGAGAAGTTTTTGCTTCCCCCATGCATAGCATGTTACTTAAAGGGACCGGCCCCAAGGAAGCATTTTCCAGGAGTTAGTTCTGGATGGGCCCTCATTATGGTTTCATCTGTGTGGTTCCTTTCTCTTCCGTCTTCAAAGGGGGCTTTCAACAGACTGATCATAAACCTGACAGCTTCACAGTCTGTTCACACATGTTCAGGAAGCTTCAGTTGGATGGTCAATTGCACTGTGTGTGCACTAAGGCCCATTGGGTCTCTTAACTTTTTAAAAATCCCCTATCACAGCCCTGGCCGGGTAGCTCAGGTGGTGGAGTGTTGTCTGGATATGCCAAGGTTGTGGGTTTGACCCCCAGTCAGGGCACATGGAAGAACCAACCAATGAATGCGCAAATAAGTGGAACAACAAATCAATGTTTCTCTCTCCCTCTCTCCCCCTTCCTCTCTCTCTAAAGTCAATTAAAAAAGATAATCGCCTATCATGTATGTACACGTGCATGGGGGCATGTGTGCGCACACTCATGCACAGTGGCACTAGGGTGAGAACATTCATTTATCTTCCTAAAACCAAAAGCACTTTCAATTTACTCCACATCAGAAAACCTGCCTAGCTTTCTTCAGTGATTGCAGAGACATTTGAATTATTGAAGATCATAATGCTTCCCTCTTGGGTGCAGGCAATTCCTAAAAGTGTTTAAGACTCTTGATCACGGGAGAATTCCCATATGCTGCCGGTAGCTGGGACTGAAACCTGCAGGCAAGATGGGGAAAATAAAAGAGTGCTTCTCATTCTAAGCACAACTTCTGCTTACGGCCTTCTGAAGCAACGTACTTAAATGGAGCAAGTTGTCGTGGCAAGTCTCCTGTTGAACACCAACACAGCCCCAGCTTCCTTTTAGAAATGTCGCGGAGTTGGGTTCGCTAGGCCAGAAGGACTCCAGTTTTACGGCTGTCCTTCCCTCTAGCGTTGAACTTGGCATCGATCCTGGAGGTCCCTTTGGTTGGATGAAGGCCATAGGTGGTGTTGGACCTCAGAGCTTCTCAGCAGGTCCCGGGGCCTGATTAAAACGGGTCTGTTTCTCCTCCCGAGTCCAGCTCTACTTCTCTTCTTAATGAGCAGAAAGATCGAGGGGGTTCCTGCGAGCAAGGGTACCCCACACGACAGGTGGGTTGAGGAGGAGAAAAAGGCTGCTACCTAAGTCCCCCAGGACATCTGGCACCCTCTCCAGGCTACCCTTCCAAATGTACACTGCGTTCCTGTCAAGGAGGGTGACGCTGGGGACCCCGGGGGACTGTCAATCAAGGGCTTTTTAAGTCCAGAGGCCTCTCCGGGACCCAGAGAGGCTCAGCAGAGAGGTGGGAGATACTTCTCTGAAAAGGTACCTAGGGCACCAGTGTGGGGTCCTATTAGCCACAGGCATTCCTCTTTCATCTGTTTGGTATATTTGGACCTCAAGTCGAGCTCCCTTTGCAAAAAGGGTATGAAGCCCACTGTTGCGAGGCAGAAGAAACCTCTGGCAGCTGTCAGAGCAGCTGTGGCCAAGCCCCATCCCCTCTCATATCCCAACACACTAAGGCCCGTCTGGCCTCTTGACTGTTGTTCTCCTTCTCCATGACTGACCTAGCCCACCGTCCCCATGGAGATGTGCCCTTTGTGACCCAGGGATCTGCGGTTGGCAGACCTCCGCCAGCCCCACGACTGCTGGCTGACAGGCGGACAAGTGTGTCCGATAGGCCTCTGGCCTGACCCACCAAGGGGAAGTATAGGGAAGGGAGATGACAAATGCGGTTTTGGATAGTGTGACCATGAGGACTTTACAGTGAAGTTCTGGAGACTATATTGGGTTTAGGAATCTGAAGCTAAAAAATATTGGGGTTAGAAAAATCTGGGTTTTATCAGAAGTTGCTGGTAACGGAAGCAGCTGTACTTTCCCAGAGAAGTGAGCTGAGGAGAGAACCAAGGGAAACACCACACAGATGTAAGCCTGGAACACCCCACGCTCTCCCCCTCCCACCCAGACCTTCCTCCTTCTGGAATGCCCTCTCCCCTCTCCTTTGACCTGTGCACTTATGGTCCAGAAACACATTTTGAAGAGGTGAAGTGACTTGCCTGAGGTTCTTTCCTGTCTCTAAACCAGTGGTTCTCAATCTAGGCTGCACATTAGACTCACCTGGGAATCTTTTTAAAATCCTGATTTCTGGGCCTCATCCTCCGGAAATTCTGTTTCTTTGTTACTAATGTGGTGGCCCCACCCCATAACAAAGAAACAGAATTTCCGGAGGATGGGGCCCAGAAATCAGGATTTTAAGAAGATTCCCAGGTGATTCTAATGTACAGCCAAGGTTGAGAACCACTGCTCTAAACCCAAGAGCCTGGCACATGGCGAGAGCTCAGGAAGCGGAGGCCCAGTGCTGCCGAACATGGGAGCACCGGGCAGCTGCTGCTGCTTACCGGCACGGACAGGGTAGTCAGGTGGCTCTTCTTCTCTTCCTTGGGAGGGCGCGGGGGCACTGTCAGGGTGCTAATACTGCAGTCCAGGTGGCCGTTGGTCAGGTACAAGGCGAGCTGAGTCATGGCCAGCTGGTCGCTGTACGCCAGGTCGAGGCCTGTTGCCCACACCTGATTAAAGCAGGAGGGTGGGGGAGATTAGCCACGAGGGGGAGGAAGCCGCACCCACCCAGCCCTGCCCAAACCAAAGGAGACCCAACTGAACCAGCGGGTGGCTGTTTTTGCTTCTGTTTCTACTTCCTGCAGCGGCGGGATGGCACCTCCAGTCTGGGTGGAATCAAAAGATTCAAGGTTCTTGTGGGAAGTTCCACAAGGGAAGACCCCTGGCTAAGGCAGTCTGGTCGCTGTGCCCGAGCCACGGTGCTCCTGTGGACTCGGAGTTGTCTGCCGTTTCTAAGATGGTCATGCAATATTTTCCACTGAGAAATGAGACTGGACAGAGCGTGAGGGGATGGGCAACTCAAGGACAGCAAACAGGGGGGCAAGAGTGAGCAAATATGAGAAAAGGGCAGTTGGCCCTGATTCCGGAAAAAGCAGTGCTGGCCTCCGGGGAATTTCAATGTGACACTTAAGGGAGACGTGAGGTTGGCATGTCAGTCTTAGTTCCACCACTGCTTTACCATGAGAGGCAGGAAAGTCACTTTGCTACCCCACGATGCCACAGTATCCCAGCTGGGAAACAATGATAACACCCACCCAGGCTGAATGGCAGGGTTATTAGAAGAACACTATGACACAATAGAAGTTAGAATGCTTTGAAAGTAGACATATGTACACTATATGTTACTACAAGCTACTACTTAGGGACGGGCACCAATTCCTTGGACAGATATTTACTGAGCATCTACTAGGTGCCACGCTAGAGATGGCAAAAGTGGGTCATGTACTACCTCTCCCCTCCCCTTGCTTGCCCTGTTATCCCCAAGCCCACACTGAAGCCAGAGCACCCTAGAGTCCTCCTCAGTTCGATGCTCAAGGCATATTCCTGTGCTAGGCATCGGGGTGTCAAAGGTAAACGGGCACAAGTTCTGCGATCAAGAAGGGGAGCCCAGAGACATACGTATTCAATTAATTACAGCACAGTGCAGCACTGGACATGATCAAGGGGCAGAACAGAGTGCTGCTGAAGTGGAAAGGAAGGACCGACTGTGTTTGTCCAGTGAAGTCAGGGCTGCATCGTGGAGAAGTGACACTTGAGCTTTGAAAAGCAACACAGACATGACTGCCTCCCACGTACCAAGTGCCTACAATGTGCCAGGTGCTTCACAACCACCTCAGATCTTTATAGTACCCTAAAGAGTAACACCCCATGCCATAGATGGAGAAACAGAGGTTCTGAGAGGCACCCAGTGCCACCCAGCTAGGAAGGGGCGGTGCTGGGACTGGAACCCAGTTCTGCCTGGCTTCCAGTCCACCCTCTTCCTGTTCCCTGCTGGAGGTGACGGCGCTCATCTTGGCCCACCCAGTCCTCTCCCTGTACCAGTTTCCCAGTCAAATTAGAAGTTAAAGTTGCTGAGGATCAAAACATGTTCTGGTTTAATATAATCCACGCCATGGAAATGTCTTGCAGAGAAAACATGAAGTATTGTATTTCTGGAGTACGCTGCAATTAGCAGTAATGCATTTTCACTGTAGGAAGTTGGAAACTAACACGTTTTCCGAAGACTTGATTAAACATTTTTCTTCCTCTTAGAAGGCCTCCGTGTGCCCCCCACACCAACTCGGTATGGCAAAGTACATAATACATCTGCCCCAGAGTGGACTCCTCTCAAACAAATCTAGCATCGAGTGACTTGAGTAAGCATTGAATGTAAATGGCATCATTATAAGGATATTAGGAGGTCAAGCTGTCAGGGCCCCTTGCTAAACGGAAGCTAATTTCAGGAGTCATATTCGCACAGTAATGCCCTTGTATAATAGCAAATAAATCACATTTGCAACAATTGTTAAAAACTAACTGCCAAGTATCTGTTGCAGCTGTAAATATCCTATTTGTCAACGTAGATATTTCCTGCTGTATGGCATAACATGCAAATCAGATGGGGACAGCCACTCTGCCTTAGTACCCGAGAGGGAACTTGCTGTTCCCACGTGTCAGGCAATTTTTTCAGACCCCTGATCTTGGTGTTTTAGTGTCCTGATCAAAGGGAAATAAATACAGCAAATGTGATGAATACCTATGTTAATGATATTAATGCGGTGGTGATAAGGGTGTTAACGAGAAGGTCACCATGTAAGGCAGCGGTTCTCAACCTGTGGGTGGCGACCCCTTTGGCGGTCTAACGACCCTTTCATGGGGGTCGCCTAAGACCATCCTGCATATCAGATATTTACATGACGATTCATAACAGTAGCAACATTACAGTTATGAAGTAGCAACGAAAATAATTTTATGGTTGGGTCACAACATGAGGAACTGTATTTAAAGGGCCAGAAGGTTGAGAACCACTGATGTAAGGGAAAGAATGAGAGCCAAGGAGTCAGAGGGCCTTCATCTGGTCCTCACAGAGTGTGAACTTGGACAACTTATTTAAGTTCCCTCCATCTCGGTATCCTTAAGTGCAAAAGGAGCAAATTGGACAACTTATTTAAGTTCCCTCCATCTCGGTATCCTTAAGTGCAAAAGGAGCAAATGATAACATTTATGGGACTTTGGAAACAAAATAGAAAAAATGCACATAAAATTGCCTGTCGCATGATAAAGTTCGATACAAATGTTACTTACAATTATCAAACATCTCCTGTAGGAGGAGTAGGATCTTAGGAGACACATTGTCAGTGGCCTGTGTAGCCATTAGATTGCTCCATTTAATAACTGTTTTCCCCATTCATAATCATGGTGTGCAACCTCACAACTCAGTGTAGTAGGTGGTTAGGTGTGGGCAAGATTGGTGTTACTCTAGGTCCATTTGACCACTGATGATACCGAGATCAAAAATGGCTTCAGGCCCTGGCTAGAGATCTCAGTTGGTTGGAGCATCGTCCTAAACACCAAAAAGTCATGATTTTTTTTTTCCTGTCAGGGTACATACCTAGGTTTTGGGTTTGATCCCATTAGGGCACATCCAGGTGGCAACTGACTGATGTTTTTCTCTCACATCAATTTTTGTTTGTTTGTGTGTGTGTGTGTGTGTGTGTGTGTGTGTGTGTGTGTGTGTATTGATTTCAGAGAGGAAGGGATAGGGAGAGAGAGACAGAAACATCAATATGAGAGAGAATCATTGATCAGCTGCCTCCAGCATGCCTCCCACTGGGGATCGACCCTGCAACCTGGGCGTGTGCCCTGACCGGGAATCGAACCATGACCTCCTGGTTCATAGGTCAACACACAACCATTGAGCCTTGATGTTTTTCTACCCCCCTCCCTCCCTCTCTAAGAATCAATTTTTAAAAAACAAACAAAACAAAACATATCCTCAGGTGAGGATTAAAAAAATATAGGGAGCTTCAGTGTTTGCCTAAGATCATAGAGCACCGGCCAGAGTGCTGGTCTTCCAGAGCCATAGCCTCTGGCTTCCCCAGGCTGCCCTGACCCCTGGGTTCACAAGAGAAATAGAACACGTTTGTTTCTTTAAGCCCTTCATCGACAGCAGGCCTGCCTGAATTGCTCAGATAATGGTTCTGCTCTCCATCTGGATTTCCCATTGCAGACGCCGCCCGAGGCAAGCTTGTTTTGTGTACAGGGGCTCCTATCTCCCCCTCTAGACTGTCAGCCCCTGTGGGGAAGCTGCAGAGTCTTTGTCTTCCCACAGCACTCAGGGCACCCAGTGTCTGGGGCAGGGTGAGGCTCCCCTTCACTGTGAACTCCCTGGCAACCTTTCAGGAACAGGGTGGGTCTCCTGAAGCTGGTTTCAGATTCAAATGCAGCAAACATTCATTGGGCATCTCCTCGGTGCCAGCCCCGGCTTTCCCACGCACCTCACAAACCCTATTCTTGATTTTGGACTTCAATGTTCACTTCAGAGCTAAGCTCTCTCTGCACTGGATGCGCCCATCACAGGTCAGATGAGTGCTGATGGCGACTTGCACAAAGGCACCGTGAGTGGGGCTGGGGAGGAGTGGGCGGGCTTTTAGATGTTCAGGAGGTGGCTTTGATATGACTTGCAGGACTTGTAATGACCAGCTTGACAGATTAATTGATTAGATCTGAGGGTGAGAAGACATCACTGAATGTTAGAGCTGGAAAGACCCTTAAAAATCATCGAATACCATCAGTTTACTTTATAAATGGAGCAACTCTGGTCTGAGAAGTGGTTTGCCCTAGGTTACAGAGCCAGGTACCGACGGTGTGGGATGAGAAACCACGGTGTTTCCGCTCCCACTCAGAAATCACTTGTTGATATTGTTTGACTGATGGATGATATTCAAAAATCATTTTGTTAAAAATGGCTAGAATACCAGAGAGATTTACACCAAGGCCTTGAGAAGCACAAGCAACATAAAAATACTCATCTCAGCATTACTTGTCATGTTGAAAAATCGCAGCTGTCCCACATCTGGGCCTTGGTTAAGAAGCTTATGACACATTCAAGTGATAGGCTAGTCTATGGTATTATCACTGAAGATAATGATTGTGAATAACGTTTGGGGACATAACAAGGGACATAAAAGAGCAAGGGAAGGATATACAGTCATAGGGGCAATGTGACTTCCACTTTGCAAAAATAATACTATGCATAGAAAAGACGAGATGAGCATATAACAAAATGTGAATAGTCTATTGTTAATACTAGCAGAATGATGGCAAGTGCAATTACATGGACTTCCATGTATTTCTAGATCAATGTATTTCATGATCTAATATGGAAGCCACTAGCCACTTGTGGCTATTGAGCCCTTGAAATGGGCCTGGTTCAAATTGAGGTGTGCTATAGACGTAAAATACATACCAGCGTTTGAAGACGAAGGAGACAAAGAAAATGTGAAATATCTCATAAATAATACTTTATGCTGGTTACATGTTTGAGGCTAATATTTGGGATATATTAAATGAAATATGTTCACCTATTTTTAAATGAGGCTACAGAAAATAAAAAGGACACATGTGGCTTACATTCTGTTTCGATAGAACTGGTTGGGAAAAGGCCCTGGCACTTCGGCAGCGGCAGGGC